CATTCTGTCCCTACGATTATAGCCTAAAGTCACCCAATTATTTTTAAAGTGATTTTTTTCAAGCAGCATCATTTCCTGACTGATAGGCTAGCTTTACCGCAATTTTGACTTAAGGTAAAAGCTCCAGGATGGCCCGCGAAATACAAATTTTATTGCGTTTTTTGGAATTTGCAGGTCAGGGTCAGTATGTGTTTATAGAATTATTATCGTTAAAATCACCAATACAACCCTCTAAGTTCATATAATCCCTTTGAATGAGTTTTTCTGGAAATAGCCAGACATTGGAATTATACAAACATAGACGGTTGTAATGATGATTATAATGATTATAATTCTGTAAATACATACTCGTTACGATCGCGAATCATATTTTGTTAAACATACAACCTGACACTGACCTGCAAATTGCAAAAAACGTAAGAAAATTTGAATTTCGCGGGCTAGCCTAGGGCTTCGACCTTAATGGTTCACCTATTACGCTCAAATTGATTAAGATAAGTTTTAAGCCGATTAATTTGGTGATTAAGGTGGAACCATTTTGTGATTTTTGTGAGCCGACGTATCAGTCTCGCGGTTCGTCAGTGTTAATTCAAATTTGATGTGACCAATACCACAAAATTGCATGTCAATCACATAATGAGGAGCCAAGCCACCACTTACCAGTTTTGGCCGGGAGTTACAGTTCTCTTTAGATCAAAGAGTAGCAAAAAGTATACAAAGAGTAGTCCATATAAGAAGAATAGTCCATATCCATTATAGCTCGCGGCCTTTATAGTGAGCCCTAAGCACCAACATCACAGAAACTAGATATTTTAATATAGATCCACTGCTAATGTCAGAAAAACAGAGTGCACGTGAGACGAGAGGCAAGTATGCATAGGCATTTCCCCATGTAAAAAAAGGTAAGTCCAACTTCAATCGAAAGGTCAATTGACGGATTTAAATCCGTTGGGCAGTGTTTGGGAGCTCGCAACATATCTTCATCACGCAATCCTCACAACTTAAAACAAGGGTATATAACTATGCGAGTTGCTAGTGATGACATAATATTGATCTTAGACGTTGTTTTTCACTATTGGCTATATAAGGAAGCTTAAGGTAGCTCAGCAAGTTATGTAAAGTGCTTGGAGTTTCTCTGTGTGATAGAATTCCTAATGAGTATGTATATTTAAAGTTTACTGTGTAGTGGCGGTGCGGTGTAAGAATATTCACTACCTCATGTAGTCCAGTGAGTGTCGTAAGAGACTACAGAGAGAAATTGAAACAGGAGATGGATGAAAGCACCTTCCTGGTAACAACTGAAAATAATAAATAATTTAAAATTTTGTACAACCGACTTCAATTTAAATTACTAAGAACAGCTCTAAAACTATAAATTTATATGGGACCACATGTGAAGCACCAGCTTTCAAATAAAAAAAGAATCATCGAAATCTGTTGACCCAGTAAAAAGTTATGACGTACCACACATAAAAAAACATACAGTCGAATTGAGTACCGTCTCCTTTATAAAATCGGTAGAAAACTGCGTTTGTCAACTCGCCTGCCAAGCTTGACAGCAATGGCATAGTCCTATCTATGAGGAAATCTATGGGATGAGGAGGGGGGGGGGCTTTGATCAGCTGTGGACTTTTATAGCCAAGGCGGGCAAAGTGTATCATTTTTGGGATTGGAACATTTGCATCTTGATCACTGAAATGTTCCGAAACACTGATATGTTTCATTTGGCTCATTTGTATCATCGACTCAAAAGATATAACAGAAAGAATGTTCCGAATACATTAAGTTGCGTCGCGGGCGTTGACTTATCCGTGAAATGTTATGTGGCAACAATGCTGAATAATATAAGTGCTTAGATTATTTATTGTGTACCGTAATAAGATTGTATATAAAATCGATTCTCCTTCATACTTTAACAAAAATATCACTATATCAATTCATTATTTACAAAAATGTCCATTTACACAAAACAGAAATGTCTATGTACACAGAATTTACTCGTAAAGTATCATAACTCTAAACTTTATGATGAAAAGGAAGAAAGTAAAGTCACAATAATCACTACGCAAAGAAATCCTAAACATAACTCTAAACAGGCGGTAATGAATATAAACAATTTGACAAGTACCGCATCAACGTAAAATGACAACGTGTTAATGCAAACGTTACATACACAAAACGACCGTATAGTATTTGACACATAAGCGGCTTAGTGGTAATTTTTACGTGCATGAATAACGTCAGCGAAAATCCGTACGAGTTGAGTGATACACTTCTTATTTGTTATCTCTATCTGACTTGTGCGAATTATAATTATTTCGCCCGCTCACTCGCCACTCGTGAGTCAATAGTTAAGTTAATCATTGTCTCAGTCTCTCTCTCTCTCGCTCGTGGCTCATTCGCCTCGCAAGCGACGCGTCGCGCGATATGAGAAAAGAGCAAAGTAATGTTTCACTGTTCCAGATACAAATGATACATTTGAAACGTTGTTACTGAACCAATCTTTTGTGTCACTTCAGTGATTCGTATCAGTGAGTCGTTTCCGTAAAGAGATACACACGCCTATTTTATAGGCTGTAATGTATGGATAGATGTTCAGAATAATCGACATAGTGATTTTGTAAAGATATGTAATTTATGAGTGGTGAACATACAGGATTGAAAGCGTACAAGAAAAAAACATTTATTGAAATAAAAAAATAATATATAAATCTACTCAAAAAGCTATTCGCAAAATCTATTTTTGTATTTTGGATCATAAAATTATGGAATTGCCTTCACAATCGCCTGTTTTCTAAGATATTTCAAATGGCGACCAGACGTCGATCGCAATTTTTACCACCCCGAAGTATATCAAAATGGAGAAAAATTGCCTAACTTGGCAGCACTGTTGTTAGAGCAGATAAAGCCAGACCGTACACAAAAAATTAAATAATTATTGTTCAACCACGTGAACACAACTAATAAGAAGTACAGTCTGTACGGATAAAGAATGGGATTAGAAATGGCGGCTCATCGAACCGGTGCCGTCAACATACACAGTACCAATAGCGAAAAACCACTAATAGCTGTATATAGTTACAACGTTATATTATTCAGTTAATTGGAAATTTCATATGAATGGAAAATTATTTCAAAAGAATTGTATACAAAAGTAGGTACAGTAATTTAAAACTAACATTTATAACTAGCGACTCGCTCTGGCTTCGCCTGGATGGGATCTTATAATTTGGCGTTATTTTTAGACTTAAGATAATCATTAAAAGCCATTTATTTCATCTTATCAATATTTGTACTTAAATAAAGTCTTTAAATTTTTGGATATAACTTATAATAGATCACTCCTGGAATTACTCTCTATTTGTTCGTGAAACTTTATTACAATTGGTTCAGCCATTCCGAAGATTAGCTCAGACAGACAGAAAAGCGAAAATTTAAAAAATGGTTAATCATGTCTCAATAGCATGTAAATATTTTGTATAAAAATATTAACAAATAAAAGCAACAATAATTATGAAGAAAATTTTCAGAACGCTGTAGGTCACAAATTACCAAAACCGGCCTGATTTTTTTTTGTAATTTATAGCACTTTGTTATCACAAATTCCAATGATAAGTTATAGAACGTATGAAAAACGCATATTGCAATGTGTTTTTTTTTTGCAATCTTTACGAGCGAATATAAGTATAGATAGCGACAGTATGGAAGCATGAGGTGAACAGAGGCGACGCCATTTTCATTCCAATTCCTTAAGCGCACGGGTAGTACAGAAATATTTATTCATGCGCTACAACTCAGCGGCCCGTTTTGATTTAATGCTACAACCCTGTACCTATGTTTTACCCGAACCCCTTCTCTCTCTACGCGAACCCCAAACTGATTGCATGTTTTTTTTTTAAATTCATACTGTTATAGAATAAGCAAAGAGCATGTCATCCTTACGTATAAAGTGAGTGAATAATTTTTTAATTATATACAATATTAAAAAACTATAATAAAAAAAAAACTAAAACTAGTAACTTAATTATCATATAGACCTACTCCCCGCGTTTTTTTTAAGCTTATTGTATTATTAAGCTTATTAAACATATGTATTATAATAAATATGTTTTAACCATATAATTATAATTAGAATAATAAATATGTAGCAAGCTAAATAACACATTAAGTTAAATAGCACATTACATCCTGCTGCAATTTTAATAAAGATATTAGGACTTGTCTATGTCCATTTAAGTTTAATAAGTAGGTACGATACGGCCGACGTATCTTGGCGAGTCCGACCTTCGCGCAGAAGGTTGCGCAATAGCTTTTTTAAGGAACAAAATGGTGGCATGAGGCGACGTACGGGGGGCGGTGGTCTAGGCTAGAGATTGACCATAAGTAAACACAATCGACCCTTTAGTCATAAAATATCGCAATCGATTAGTTTTATTTAGAAGTTATTGATTTTTGTTTATATAAGATATTAAACGAAATAGATTTACAAATATAGTGAATTTTGTTGATAATAAACAAGATTTCGACTTAAATAAAAAAAAAAAACTAAAAACATATTATTTTCTCAGCTGAAAGACATAATGTACTTAAATATCAATTATCTATTAACGTCTTCTTGAGTAACGACTATTTGAGAAAATTTAGAACCTCCTTATAAATTGCAAATAAATATATTTTTATGTCTTAATTTTAATCGATTTGAATAAAAATCGATTAAACAACACCCTCAGGCACGCGTGTTGGACATCCCTTTCTGGTTACTTCGTAAAGCTTCGTGCTTATTCGGCAATGCTCGGTACACGGTAATATTTCTCAGTCACACGTTAGCATTGGTGTCGTGTTCGTGTCGCTATCTCTGTCTTGAGCACAGTCGGTTACAAAAGTTTTCGTTGTTATTGTTGTTTGTTTTTATTAATAGTGTTAAGTTTGTTTTGTTTGTTTTATTTGTTTTATTTGTTTTATTTGCAAGTGTCAGTTAGCACTTATATTATTCGCCAAACATGCCACCAAAACATAACAGTGTGTTAAATCGCCAGGCGAGAAAAATTATTTACGATTTAACGCAATATATGAAAAAAGAAAAAGAAGAAGGCGTAAAAGATGTCGATAAAGTTTATTTAAGAGTTGCTAACGCAACTGGTGTGTCCCAACGCACAGTACAGCGGATCGCAACTGAAGGCAATATTTCGGGCTTACTTTCAGTATTCCGCACGCCTGGTAAAAAAAGGTCTAGATCAAAACCTATTACTGATATGGATAATTTTGACCAGGGAGTAGTAAAAAGATGCATACACAACTTCCACAAAACTGAAAAAGAAATGCCGACGATAAACAAATTACTAGCGAAACTCAAACGGGATATAAATTTTCAAGGTGGTAAAACGAGCTTAAAGACAATTATCAAAAACTTGGGTTTCAAGTGGCGAAAGACCGAAACCAATAGAATGGTTCTTATAGAGAAGACCGACATTCGCCTGAAAAGGATCTTGTACTTGAAGGCAATGAAAAAATACAGGGACGAAGGGCGACCAATTGTATTCACTGACGAGTCGTATGCCCACTCATCACATACAAAAGGTAAGGCGTGGTCAGATGGTTCCGCTCAAGGACTAAAGCGCCCGATATCAAAAGGTCAGCGGATAGTGATGGTACACGCTGGGTCAGAAGCAGGGTTTGTTCCGAACGCGCTACTAATGTTCAAATCTGGCAGCAAAACCGGAGACTATCATGATGACATGAATTTCAAAAATTATGAGAAATGGTTACGGACCCAACTGATTCCAAATTTGAGCCCTAACTCGGTGGTGGTTATCGATAATGCTCCGTACCACAACAAATTAATGGATCCTGCCCCTACATCTAATGACAAGAAGGCAAAAATGGAATCGTGGTTATTAGAAAAGGGTATACCATATGAAAAGGACATGCGTAAACCACAACTTTACGATCTAATAAAAAAAAACAAAGACGTGAATAAAAAATACGTAATAGATGAAATGTTTAAACAAAACAACCACGATGTCCTTCGTTTACCCCCATATCATCCCGATTTAAACCCCATCGAGATGGTGTGGGCTGCCATTAAAGGGCACGTAGCCGCTAAAAACGTCGACTGGAACGTAACCCGGACAATGGAGCTCATACAAGAAAAAGTAAATTTAATGGGTCAGAATGAATGGAGTGCTTTATGCAGAAAAGTGCAAGAGGTCGAACATGACTATAGGAAGAGCGACCATATTATTGACGAAATGACGGATCAATTATTCATCATTAATACAGCTTCAGATTCAGAAAGTGAGTCTGAAAGTGAGAGCGACGATTACGAAGATGAACCTATGCCAAGTACCTCACATGGTACACAAGGGGCCGACGACTTTATGTTAGGAATTTCCCCCCTCAGCGACAGTGATTAAATAATAATAAGTGTAAATAAATAAAAAGTATTAAATGTAAATAATATTGTATGTGTTTGTGATAAAATCTGCCCCTATCGAAAGGTGAGGTATCAAAATTGAATCTTTAATTTATAATGTCTCCAAAGTGTTTTGATATTTTTGGTCACTGTATTAGGGAAATTTTATTTGTACATTGGTATATATAAAAAAATGACAATAACAGTTTTCTTCACGAGTGTTCATGCGCTAAACTTCGCAGAGCCTATATTCAGACTCGCCAAGATACGTCGGCCGTATTATATTTATATTATCAGTTTATGCATAAAATATGACAAAAATCATTTGTATTTGAAAATGTACCTACGCTTAATTGCAATTATTAACTTTTTCATAGTCCGAATCAAATATGAATTATGATTATGAACGTAGTGAAAAAGAATCGCATAGTCTACCTATCCTTTTCTTGCAGTAATACGTCATTCTCTCACGTTCAATGTGTGGTGTCATAGTAAAATATTCGTGATTTTAGATCTTACTGACAAAAAGCAATCTAAAATGTTGGAATATATCTGTTTTAATTATGTGTTATTTTTATTAAAAAAATGTTAGTGTCGTGCAGTTCCTTGAAAAAAGTTTAGCAAAAAAACTTAAAATTCTTCAATATGAACTGTCACCAAGTACTAAGTGGTGCCTGTAATTCAGGAGATCAATGTTTTGCTGTGGGTTCTGTTGAGGGAGTACCATTTACAGTAAGTACATATTTCAAATATTTAGTGAATAGTTATAGACAAGTCTCGTGACGAAGGATGTTGATCGCTCTAAAGCGGTAATTGGGAAGTAATGGTCCTAACAGGAAAATCTAATTTAGCTTAGTTTGATAAGAGTTCAAACAGTTTTCGTATAAATTCATAACGCACGGCAGTCAATACTATCTTATGATTATATCTACAATATAATGTTTTTGTTGAATTACCATAGCTGAAAAGAAAAATCCTAGAATACTAATTTGCATAGCTCAGGTGTTCAAACACTATGGCAATTGTTGTTGTTAACACTTCACAATTATTTTATTTTCAATATTCACAGCTATTCTGTAAATATCACATAACTCACATAATAAGTACTTTGAGGATATTCAAATTATCATAAAATTTATAAAACAAAAATTTGTTTATTTTTCTACTAAACAGTTAAACATAGTAATAGGTAATATGATAGAATTTATTTCACAAATTATTGAAAATCATGTGACTTACTGCGAATTCATATCACAAATAACTAGTAGGTAGTAATATTATTTCATTATAACTTGTTTTCAATTTATTATGGTAATATATTATTATAGGTTATTAAAGCTAAGATAATATATAAAATTTTCATATAGGTACTTTATTGATAGTATGTTTAGCAATTTTTTCAGTAAGTAATAAATTTTTTTGCAACAAATTTAATGACCTTAGTCTAGTGGCTTGTTAGAGATTGATAAAAAAGAATAAGAAGAGATAAAAAATTAGACTAATGATATATATTATTTTTACTCAAAGTTCATTTCAATTACTTATGTATAATAACTATGTATAAAACTTAAACAGTTTTATCTAGTTTTATATTACTTCTGTTACAAAATATTTAAAGTTACTTTAATAGTTTAACAATCTTTCATATAAGATCATCTTCTTTCTTATCTTATCTAAAATCAGTATTATATTTTGTTGGCAATTTTATAAGTAAATACTTTGTGGATTTGATTAAGAATGAATTATATTTTAAAAGTATATTTAATGAACTTTATAATATGTAATAACTAATTGCTATAGCTTGTAATTATATCTTATAAGAAAATTGTGCATGTTATTGTGTATATACAAAGTGAAATTTCTTTACGACATATCATTCTTCTTTAACTTTATTTTTTTACATAAGTAGGTTAAATAATAGAACACTCATGCAGCCCCGGTGGTGGAATGTTATATGGAACCATTATAAAAAAACACAACTTTTTTTTTATATACCATACTAAATTTTTCCACTATGTTGATAAAGAAGTTTCACTACAGTAAGTATTTCATTACATGTTTTGTTTACAGGCATATGCAGCAGGATGCAACATAGTAATACTTGCATCAAACTTTGAAAGGGTCCAGATAATACCAGGAGCTATTCATGGCTATGTTCGCATCAGTTCTTTAGACTGTAGTACAGATACAGGAAAGATTGCTGCTGCATATGGAGCAGAAGTCTGCATTTTTGAACCAACACCACTCATACATACTGCTGCAACAACTCATGTGAGTGTTACCCATTCTAATCAATATTTATTGTGTCATAAACACTTTCAAAATTGTGCATTATATATATTTTCTTCTATTTTGGAATCTATAAACATACATATTTTGCTTATTGATAATTAGATGTTACATTTTTATGACTATTTAAATTAAAATAAAATTCTTATATGATATTGTCAGGAATTTTAAGTTATTTTAAAGTAGTTGTTTTAGAGCAGATGTTCAACTTAAGCTATTAATAATTATCAGCAATAAAACAGCTTACTGCACTATACTGTAATAATATTTCCCAGTCATAATTACACATTAGTGTAACATGATGGACATAGTTACATTATAACACCAAAATAGATTAAGTGTGCATACCCATAGCAACACTGTTTATGTCAATGTGATACAGGGTACTTGTACTAAAAGAATCCCGTGACTACATCAATACACTAATAATTAAGATTCATAGAATGACCATCACAATTGTTGCCTGTGTCCTATGAATTTTCCACAGATTATAAATAGTAACCATTACCTTTTGCCTTTACTTAATCATAATACTTCATATATGAAATGTAGTCTGTTTTATGCCATATTTTTCTGCCGACTTTAAAAAGGAGATGGTACTCAATTCGACTGTATGTTTTTTTATGTGTTATCTCATAACTTTTTACTGGGTGGACCGATTTCGGTGATTTTTTTTTTATTTGAAAGCTGGTGCTTCACATGTGGTCCCATATGAATTTGATAAAGGTCAGACCAATAGTTTTGAGTTATTCTTAATAATTTATATTGAAGTCGGCTGTACAAAATTTTTAATTTTAAGTTATATTCAAATGCCAATCTTAATAGTGCATAGTGCACTCTTATTTGTGTGCATTCTATAATTATTAACAGATTAGGTATTGGCGACTGATTGATGCTGAATTTTCCAATCAAACATGCTGAACCTCAATTTCATACACTGGTGATGGAAAGTACCATTAGCAGTGTGAGGGTTTCAGATCTCCCCCAACAAAGAACCTGCCCAGCATAATGAGTATGGGTAACTTCTACATAATGCATGCAAGCTGATGCAATCTTTGGAAGGCCTATGTCCGTCAAAAAGCTTAAAAAGGCTGGCAATGATTATCATCTTTATGAGACATGCTTCAGAGTTATTATAAGTCAAGGTCAAAATATTTTTATTCAAAATTAGGTTTTACAAAGCACTATTTAGTAAAAAAACCATCTTCATTATTCAATATTATTGAATAGTGATTATATTAGAATGATGAAATGTATAATTTTTCTATATTGGATTATAAATAAAAAAAAAAACATGTTCTTACTGCGGGAGACCTTGTGAGAAGAAGCGGCAAGAAATTCTCAAGTAACACTATTTTTGCACAATTTAATCATATAAAATATATATACACATATTAAGAAAATATAAGAAAGCCTATAACGTCCAAACATTCTTATCATCATTTAAATAATAATCCAGTTAATTACCTTTTTCTTTTTTAATTTGAATATGTGCCTTGAATTTGTGCAAAGACAACTAACTAAAAACTGCAGAACTGGAACAGAAGTAAGCAGAGTTTGTTCTTACTATTTAAAGTGCCGTGTAGTGGCGGTCAAGAATATCCAGTACCCCATATCCTCCCGTGGGTGTCGTAAAAGGCGACAAAGGGAAACAGCCAGGAGATGGGCAGCAGCATCTTCCTGATAATAGCCAAATGACAATAAAAAAAACTGCGGTTGCCAACCCGCTCGCCAAGCGTGGCAACTATGGCAAATACCCCCCAATGATGAGAGCAACAAAAAAACGGCCCCCAGTCCCCGGCGGCCCCGCTATTCCTGGCTACGGTGGCGACCATGGTAACGGCGGGGCAGGGGGTGCTAAGAATCTCCGGTGGAGGTTCAGTTGCCACCTTAGACGACTCGACCTGGCAACGTACAACGCACGCACCCTGAGGACTGACGAGAAGATCGTGGAGCTGGAAGAAGAGATAGACAAGTTGCGCTGGCATATTATAGGATTATCTGAAGTCCGAAGAGAGGGGGAGGACACGGTAATCCTCGAATCCGGCAACTTGCTCTATCACCGGGAGGGCGACCATCTGTCCCAAGGAGGTGTCGGATTTATCGTCCACAAGTCTCTCGTTAACAACGTTATAAAAATCGGGAGTGTGTCGACGAGGGTTGCGTACCTTATACTCAGAATCACCAAACGGTATTCGCTGAAGGTCATACAGGTTTACGCACCAACCTCGGCACACCCCGATGAGGAGGTGGAGGAAATGTATGAGGATATCTCTAGAGCCATGCATTCCTCCAAAACCCAATATACGGTGTTAATGGGAGACTTCAATGCAAAACTAGGCACAAGAGAGAACGGTGAGCTGAAAGTAGGGAAATTTGGAATAGGGCAACGGAACCCAAGGGGCCAGCAGCTGGCCGACTTCATGGAGAAAGAGGGACTCTTTATGATGAACTCTTTCTTCCAGAAGCGGCCCCACAGGAAGTGGACCTGGTCGAGCCCCGACGGTTCGACAAAAAATGAGATTGACTTCATTATGACGACCAGACAACAACTGTTCAGTGATGTCTCAGTGATCGCGAGGGTGAAAACCGGCAGCGATCACCGAATGGTTAGAGGCACACTGAACCTAAACGTTAAGTTGGAGAGGTCTCGTCTAATGAAGTCAACGCTCCGTCCCCCTCGTGCTCTGTTTCAAAGTCCCGAAACCTTTCAGCTCGAGTTACAAAACCGTTTTCAGTGCCTAGAAGACTGCAATGAAGTGGACGATATGAATGACAAGCTCGTGGAAACTGTCCATGCGGTTGGAGCTAAGTTCTGCAAGACCCGCCGCAGAAGAACACAAAAACTCTCCGATCACACTCTTAATCTCATGGCTGTTAGACGGGAGATGAAGCTACATTCTTCAACAGACTTGACAGCATACAGGCATCTGAACAGACAGATCTCCAAATGCATGCGGCGGGACTTACGCAACTTCAATACAGCTCGTATTGAAGAAGCGATCGAGCGGAACCAAGGCTCCAAAGTCTTTGCCAGAGATCTGTCTGCCAGAAAGAGCCAACTGTCAAAGCTGAAGACAGAATGTGGCAGCATCGTTTCCGGGACACCTGAGATTTTGAGTGAGATTGAGAGGTTCTATGGGCAGCTGTACACATCATCGTTGGAGCCACACGCAAGTGTGAGTAACGATCCAAGAGCGAGTCTCATCCGACACTATTCCGAAGATATCCCGGATGTCAGTCTGAGCGAGATTAGGATGGCTCTCCAGCACCTTAAAAACGGTAAGGCCCCAGGCGAGGATGGAATTACAGCGGAGCTTCTGAAAGCGGGTGGAAGACCGGTACTTGAAGTCCTTCAGAAGCTCTTTAATTCCGTCCTCCATGGTGGCATTACACCGGAGGCGTGGAGCAGAAGTGCGGTGGTCTTGTTCTTCAAGAAAGGTGACAACGCTCTCTTGAAGAACTACTGACCGATTTCCCTTATGAGCCGCGTCTACGTGCTGTTTTCGAGAGTCATTACAAATCGTCTCGCGCGCAGACTTGACGACTTCCAGCCTCCCGAACAAGCCGGTTTCCGAAAGGGCTTTAGCACCATAGACCACATACATACCCTTCGGCAAGTTGTACAGAAGTCCGAAGAGTACAATTTGCCACTATGTCTGGCGTATGTGGACTATGAGAAAGCCTTTGATTCCGTCGAAATTTGGGCGGTGCTGCAGTCCCTTCAGCGGTGCCAAGTTGACTGTCGGTATATCGAAGTGTTGAAGTGCTTGTACAGTAGGGCTACGATGGCTATCCGAGTACAGAACCAGAGTACGAAACCTATCCAATTGCAGAGAGGTGTAAGACAGGGTGACGTCATATCCCCGAAACTCTTCACCGCTGCATTGGAAGACGTTTTCAAGCTTCTGGACTGGAAAGGATACGGTATCAACATCAATGGCGAGTACATCACTCACCTTCGATTTGCCGACGATATAGTCCTTATGGCAGAATCGCTGGAGGACCTAAGCACTATGCTCAATGACCTCAATAGTGTTTCCCAACGGATAGGTCTTAAGATGAACATGGACAAAACTAAGATCATGTTTAATGTCCATGTCACACCTATGCCGATAGTTGTTGGGAACACTAAGCTCGAAGTTGTTGACGAGTATGTTTACCTGGGACAAATAGTCCGACTGGGTAAGTCCAACTTCGACCGAGAGGTCAATCGACGGATTCAACTCGGCTGGGCAGCGTTCGGGAAGCTACGGCACATCTTCTCGTCAGACATACCTCAAAACCTTAAAACGAAGTTGTACAACCAGTGCGTGTTGCCAGTGATGACTTACGGAACTGAGACGTGGTCCTTCACTGCTGGCCGTATGAGGAAGCTCAAGGTCGCTCAGCGAGCTATGGAGAGGGCTATGCTCGGAGTTTCTCTGCGTGATAAACTTAGGAATGAGGATATCCGCAGTAGAACCAGAGTGACCGACATAGCCCAACGGATTAGTAAGCTGAAGTGGCAGTGGGCCGGCCATATAGCTCGAAGAACCGACAACCGATGGGGAAGAAAGGTTCTCGAGTGGCAGCCTCGTACCGGTAGGCGAAGTGTAGGGCGTCCCCCCACGAGATGGAGTGACGACCTGGTAAGACATGCAGGAAGTCGATGGATGCAGGTGGCTCAGGACCGTGTTTTGTGGCATTCTTTGGGGGAGGCCTATGTTCAGCAGTGGACTTGTGAAGGGCTGTAATGATGATGATGATTTAAAGTTATTAATACTACTTATTGAATTTCTAAGATTATTGCTATTACTACATTAAAAAAAAACTATTAAGTTTTAAGTAAAATTACAACAAAAGTAAAATTTAAAAAACTATAACTACATTAATTGGCCATGAGCTCTGATGATCCTAGTATTAATACAAGGTCATAGTTGTGAAATTATTGTATTGTTGTCAATTCTTAATATGAATGCAAAATTTTAGATTACACAGAC